AAAGCTGTTATTAAAGAAATCTTCAGATTGCATCCTCCTGCACCGGTACTCGTTCCACGAGAATCCATGGAAGAGATTACCATTGGTGGGTACACTATTCCTGAAAAAACAAGGATTTTCATCAACGCTTGGGCAATAGGCAGGGACCCAGAATCTTGGCAAAATCCGGATCTTTTTGAACCTGAAAGATTCATGGGTAGCAATATTGATTACAAGGGGCAAGATTTTGAGCTAATACCTTTTGGTACAGGCAGACGAAGCTGTCCAGCTATTGCATTTAGTTCTGCAACTGTTGAGCTTGCTTTGGCACAACTCCTTCACAGCTTTGATTGGAAGCTTCCGACTGGTGTTCAAGTCAAGGATCTCGATATGACAGAAGTTTTCGGCATTACCATGCATAGGATATCCCCTCTAATTACAGTGGCCAAACCATACTTTTCTGAGATCAAGAGCTCGCAACTTTAAAGAAAGATGAATAGCAATTTAGGCAAAGAATAAAATTTTCTGTCAATGGTTTTCATATTGTAGACAATAAGAAAAGTCTCGTATGTGATTACGTAGAAAACCTCAATATTGTCAAGATTATTGTCTTCTTACATTATGTCAAAACTCAGATAGCGGAGAACACTAGATTAAAAACCGAGTCCAAAACTTAAACATACTCAACACTTCACCTTCACTGTCCAAAACTATGGAAACTTCCTTTCCCAGAAAGAAAAATATGAATAAATAATGACATTCTGCTAAAGAGAAGCATCACGAAAGAGCCAAAAACTAGAACCAAAGTGGAAATGAGCGTGAATAACCAACACATAATATAATTCAACTACTGCTTGACATGAAAATCAACAATAATGGCAGAACTTATAGTAAAATTAAGGCATGGCATAAATTCTATTAACTCTAGAGTATGCTAACTTGAATCAATCCACAAAGAAGAACACATACACAAAAACAAGATTAATTTCACAATTGAGATTCGAAGCAGAAGATACTATTTCTCAATGCCTTCTCTTTTGCACTAAATGCCTAAGTATTATTTAATTTGCATTTTCACTAAAAAATAAACTAAACTTATAAAATCATAGGGCATATCAAACACACTTACATGAGATCTGCTGCCACAAAAGGAGATGTGCATCTCGATTCACACCCCAAAACTGAAATTTTCTAAAGCTACTTGCTGAATAAGATCAAAGGAGATTTATGATGAAATCGAGAAATACAATTTATGGGGAATGAATATAAAAATAAAGATAGGATTTTAAAGTGGAGTTTGATCCAAATTATGTTTATTTAGATTAGCTTTTAGAATTTGATAAGGTTCTAATTTATTAGATGTTCTTTAGTTCTTTGTCCAATAAAAGAGGCTTGTGCATTGTAATAGTTAAGACTTTTATTATGAAATAAATTAATACCTTCTCCCACAATTTTTTCTATATTCTCTTCCCTTTCTCCTCTTCTTCTGTCTCTTCTTCTTTTCTTATCTCTCTATATCTAGTTCTAGTAAAATTGTGTTCTTCATCAATTTGGTATCAAAGCAAGATGTAATCTTTTGGCCATACAAAGTTGATAAATTTTGATAAGTGTTCAAGCACAAAAAAATAAAAAATAAAAAAATAAAAATAAATTATTGTTCCCATCCTCTAAGAAACCCAATCCAACATCCATTCACATAATACCTAGTCAATACCTCTACCATCCTCCAAAAAAAATTATCGTGTCGTCAAGAATGTAATTCTGCTTAGGACTATTTAAGTAAAACAAAAAAATAATAATAATTAAAATAGAGGTGTAACTAGTAAAATATGTGGTGGTAATATTATTACCCTATAAATAATCTCATTGAATAATATAGCTTTGTTTAGTTTTACATGGTAAATGAACTGTTTTAATCTTGACTTGACTTAAAGCAGTATTGATTTTGTTCTCTAGTGAGTGACTTAAATTGTGATGCTGGAGTGGATAATATTTGTTTCTTGTTATCGTCATTGTTGAGGATACTTTGGCCCAATCTAAGGCATAATTCCTGTAACAGATTTGACCCCACTATTCTAGCCTAATTATATTTTAATCTAGCTAAATTATGGGATATTCTTTCCATCAATTTCATTGTAATTAAGTTGTAAATATTTTAGATTGATTTGTAAGAACCTTGTAAATCTATATAAATAGACATACTCACCATCACTAAGAGCAGTGTAGTGATCTATTCTTCAAAGATTTTCATGGTATCAAAGCCATTCTTGGATTAACATCTATTGATCATTCAATCTCATCATGGTTGCCGAATCCACACTCTTCTCTTTCAAGACCATGATCTACATGGTAACAATTAACTCTCCTCCTCAAACTACCTCATGTGGAAATGCCTACTACTTCCCTTTCTTGAGAGTCAAGCACTACTTGGTCATGTAGATGGAACCCTTGAGCCTCCACCAAGATTTGACCCACCCACCTCCCAAACACTGAACACCAAATACTTAGACTAGAAAATAATTGATCAGAAGTTTCTCAGCCTTCTTCTCTTTTCCCTCACCAAAGAGGCCATGGCTGAGGTCGTCAGCCTCTCCACTTCCCGCGAGGTTCGGGTTGCCTTGGAAAACACCTTCAGCCACCTCTCCAAAACTCGCGAGACTCGCCTCAAAGATGATCTCCAATTGATGAAGTGTGGAACACGTTCTGTCTCCGAGTAGTCTCGTGTCTTTAAGGCATTTTGTGACCAACTACATGCCATTGGACGACCAGTTGATGAGATGGACAAAGTCCATTGGTTCTTCGAGGTCTTGACACTGATTTCTCGTCATTCTCAATTGCACAGATGGTGGTCACTCCTCTCCCCTTCTTCACTGACCTCGTGTCCAAAGCTGAAAGCTTTGAACTGTTCCAAAAATCTCTTAAATCTTCAAGTCCACCTAAAGTAGCGTTCACTGCTACGAATCGCACTTTCAATCTTGTGAGTAACAAGGGCCACCTCTCATGCACCAATCACGGAAGCAACAACAATCAAGCCTACTCCGATCGTGGTAACAGACGAAAATTTTCTGGCCAAGGATGTTGTCCCCGGTGATGTCAGATTTGTCAGATCGAAGGACACTACGCTGAATGTTGTGACCAGAGGTATTCTCGACGAGACCTCATCTTGTCGAGGCTTTCAATAAATCATGCTCCATATTTGAAAATGAGGCCTCATATTGGTATTTGGACACTGGGTCTTCGCCCACATGAGCACCAATCCATCTATTACGGATCACTCAAGTAATTACACCGGTAAGGATTGTGTAATTGTAGGAAATGATGCTTCCCTACCTATAACTCACACTGGTACAGTCTCTCCCAATCAAAATCTTCATTTATTTGATGTTTTAGTTGTTCCTCATTTAACCAAAAATCTTTTGTCCATTAGTAAATTAACTTCTGATTTTCCTTTGTCTATTACTTTCACTAATAATTCTTTTACTATTCAGAATCGTCACACGAGAGAGGGGTGGCAAACGGTAAATGAGATGGTGGATTATATGTGCTAGAGCATGGAAACCCCACCTTTATTTTTGTTCTTACTAATAAGTCATTGCATGCCTCGTATGATTTATGGCATGCTCGCCTTGGACATGTGAATCATTCCATTATTTCTCTTTTAAATAAAAAAAGGTCATCTTTATTTTACATCTTTATTGCCTTCTCCAACACTTTGTAACACATGTCAGATTGCAAAAAATCATCGTTTGCCTTATTCGCGTAATGAAAAATGATCCTCCAATGTGTTGGATTTAATTCATTGTGACATATGGGGCCCATCCCCATTAAATCCACTTCAGGTTTTTTTTACTATGTTATCTTTGTCTATGATTTTTCTCGTTTCATTTGGCTATACCTATACCCTTTGAAATCTAATTTTTACAATATTTTTCTTCAATTTCAAAAATTTGTGGAAAATCAGTATTCTGCATGCATAAAAAATTTTCAAAGTGATGCGGCAGAGAATTTACTAGCAATCGTTTCCAGTCACACCTCCGTAACTCTGGCATCCATCATCAATTATCTTGCCCATACACACCTCCTCAAAATGGTCGTGCCGAAAGGAAACATCGTCATGTGATTGAGATTGGCCTTGCTTTCCTTTTTCACTCTCATCTTTCTCCGCTTTTGGGTTAACTCCTTCAGCACTGCAGTCTACAACATCAATCGCTTGCCCACACCACTTCTTGGAAGTAAATCCACTTTTGAACTTCTTTATGGTTCACCTCCGAATTATGAAAATTTTCATCCCTTTGGTTGTCGTGTTTTTTTTTTGTTTACGAGATTTCATGTCTGACAAATTTTCCCCTCGTAGCATCCCATTCAATTTTTTGGGATATAGTCCTTTCTATAAAGGGTTTCGTTACCTTAATCCCACAACCTTTGGACTATACATCACTCGACATGCATAATTTGATGAACATCACTTTCCTTCATTAGAAACCTCTCACTCTCCAATTTACCAATTTTTTGGAGCCCAACTCTTCCCATGCAAAAGCATCTTCCCTTGAGCATCATTTTTCTCCTATTACTACATCCACATATTATCTATACTGATATAATGGATGAGTCTGTGCAGGTTACTGACTCTAATGCAGGTTCTACTTTGGTACACTTAGCCCCTAGATCATCTCCTGTTGAGTCTAACACTGCTCCTCAAGTTCACGATCTCACTCTAGCTCCAGCTCCAGCATCTCCATTAGGCTCTCACCCTATGATCACATGAGCCAAGGCTAGTGTTTTCAAAGCTCATCATCAAGCAAACATTGGCATCTTAGGCTCCTCTAGTCTTCTTTGTGCTCTTTTTGCCTCTACTGAGCCTAAAAGTTTCAAATCTGCTACAAGGAATCCTGATTGGCTTGCTACCATGGATGAAAAAATGCAAGCCTTACAAAATAACCGTATCTAGATTTTGGTTCCTAGGCCTCCTAACACTAACATTGTTGGCTCCAAATGGGTGTTCAGAATCAAATATTAGTCTGATGGATCTATCGAGCGTTTCAAAGCTCGTCTTGTTGCCAAGGGCTATACACAAGTGCTTAGTCTCAACTACAATGATATCTTTAGTCCTGTTATTAATGCTTCCACTGTTTCTAAATGGCACTCTTATTGAGCATGTCTATATAGAGCAGCCTCCAGGATATATTGATCTTCGCTTTCCTAATCATGTCTGTCAATTGAAGAAAGCTCTCTATGGTCTAAAGCAAGCACCTCGTGCTTGGTTCCAATGCTTCAGCTCCTTCCTTATTCAGCTTGGATTTCATTGTAGTCGGGTTGACACTTCACTATTTGTCTTCCACAAGCACTCTGATAATCATATATTTGCTCCTATATGTTGATGATATTATTATCACTGGCTACAACTCATCTCTCATCGACAAATTCCCTTGCAAACTCAATTTTGAGTTTGCCACTAAGGATTTGGGTCATCTTAGCTACTTCCTTGGTCTTGAAGCTTCGACAATTAAAGATGGCCTTTTTATTAGTCAGCTAAAATATGCACGGGATATTCTTACTCGAGCTCAGTTGCTTGACAATAAACTAGTGCATATTCCTATGGTTGTTTCTCAGCACTTGCCTGCAGAAGGTCATCTGTTCTCCAATCCTACTCTTTACAGATCTCTAGTTAGCGCCCTACAATACTTGACTAGCACACGTCCAGATATTGCTCATACTATCAATTCTGTCAGTCAATTTCTATACGCTACAACAATCGACCACTTTCTTTCAGTTAAGCGTATCCTTCGCTATATCAAGGGCACCCTTCATTTTGGCCTCACTTTTCACACATCTACTACTCCTGGTGCTCTCATTGCTTACTCTGATACTAATTGGGTTAGATGCCCTGATACTTGTTGATCTACCTCTGGTTACTCCATCTATATTGGAGAGAATTTGGTTTCTTGGTGTGCTAAGAAGCAACCCACAGTCTCTCGTTCTAACTGTGAATCTAAATATCGTGCCCTTGCTCATGCTGCTTTTAAGCTTCTTTGGATTACACAACTTCTTCAAGACTTACAGATGTCACTTCCATAGCAGCCCCTTCTTTTATGTGACAATAAAAGTGCCATATTTCTGAGCTCCAATCCTGTTTCTCACAAATGGACTGAGCATGTTGAATTAGACTACCACTTTCTTTAGTAACTTTTTGTCTCTAGCAAACTTCACACTCAGTTCGTCCCATCTTACCTACAGGTTGCTAACATCTTTATCAAAAGTCTCCCTTGACCACTTTTTGAATTCTTTCAATCAAAGCTTCACATCTACTCCAATCCGACATTCAGCTTGCAGGGAGTGTTGAGGATACTTTGGACCAATCTAAGGCATAATTCCTGTAATAGATTTGACCCCACTATTCTAGCCTAATTATATTTTAATCTAGCTCAATTATGGGATATTCTTTCCATCAATTTCATTGTAATTAAGTTGTAAATATTCTAGATTGATTTGTAAGCACCTTGCACATCTATATAAATAGACATACTCATCATCACTAAGAGTAATGTGGTGATTTATTCTTCAACGATTTTCGGTCATCTCCATTTGTGTTGGTTTTTCCTTTTTCTTTTCTGTGGAATTTGTGACATTCTGCTAAAGAAAAGCATCATGAAAGAGCCCAAAACTTGAATTGAAGAGGAAATGAGCATGAATAGTCAACTTATACTAAAATTCAACTACTGCTTGACATGAAAATCCACAATAAGGGTAAAACTTATCATAAAATAGAGGCACGGGTAAATTCTATTAACTTTTGAGTATGCTAAATTGAATCAATCTACCAAGGAGAACATAAACATAAAAATAAGAATAAAGGCACAATTGAGATTTGAAGCAGAAGATACCATTTCTCAATTCCTTCTCTTTTAAACTAGAAGCCTAACTAGTCTTTAATCTGCATCTGTACTGAAGAATAAAATTAAACTTGTACAATCATAGGGCCATCAAAAACATTTACATGAGAAGCTCTTTGACCATAACTAAAATTTCTAAAGCTATGTGTTGAAGAAGATCAAAGGAGATATACGGTGAAATCGAGAAATACAGTTGATGGGGAATGAATGTAAAATGAAGATAGGATTTAGATCGATTTTAAAGTAGAATTTGATTTAAATTGTGTTTATTTAGATTAGATTAAAAATTAGCTTTTAGATTTTGGTAGGGTTTTAATTTATTAAAAGTTCGTAAATTCTTTGTCCTGAAAAAAAATCGTTAATTCGTCTCTCTAATCAATTTTAACGTTCTGAGTTCATCTGTGCAGTCAGATTTGATAATATCAACTTTTAAGATTGTGTTCTAGACCCAAACAGATTCGATCGAGACTAAAAAATGGGAAAAAGGTATTGCTCATCTTTAAAAAAGGGGGGGGGGGTTAAAAGTTGAAATGTCCAATAAAATTACCGTTTGACTTTTTCAAATGAATTTTAGAAAATTGCAACTTGGTCCCTCAAATATTCTTGATTTTTATGTGCAATTAAAATTAATTTTCAGATAATGAAAAAAAAATAATTTTGGACTCGATTAAATTCTAATTTTTTTTTTTTTATAAAAATTGAGAATATTTGTTAAGCAGTATTTGCCTAGTGGGAGTTTTTTTTTTTTTTTTTGAAGTGTTTCATTTTTAAATGAAAAATACTACGAAGGTATTTAAAATAATGCATTATATATACGTTCATGAGTTGTGTGGGTTTTAATTAGGCTATGTGATCCATTGTGACTTGTTTTCAATTTTTTGTGCTTGATCAAATATGGCTAGATCTGTGCACATTTATAGCATCCTTAGAAGGAATGCTAGAAAATCAAAGGCTATGAAACTTGTTGAAATGTTCCATGATTATCGATATAAATGAATGGATCTGGAACATGATCTATTGTGGAACACGTAAATATTTTGGGATATAAGTTTTTGATGACAAGCAAAATATAATAATTCTAATGTCACTTCCCAGTTATTAGGACTGTGTTTCGACCGAGATTTAGATGGGATTGAGAATTTGTAAAATAAAACTTAAACTATGTTAGTTTTATTTTTGAATTATAATTGAAGTTATCTTCTGAAAGAATTAATTTGTTATATCAGGATGCATGTCATGATTGGATAAATGTGCATATTTATGTTTTTATTGCATATTATGAAGTTATCTAATTGAATACATCATGTATTGTTATAAATGCTAAGGTCAGTAGAATTAGTGAGATTCTTACTAAGACATATTGATTGTCAGTTGAGTGATAGTTCGGTGATTGGAAGATTTAGAGAAAATCTCACCAAGAACTATTCGATTCATCAATTGAGTGGGAGTTCTGAAGTTGGAATAATTAATGTGATTCTCACTTAGAACCCATTGAATTTTGCATTATTAAATTAAGTTTATAATAGTGAAACGATAGGATTACGGACGATGATTGGGAACATAGTGAACTTTCGACTCTGTGCCTAACGTTGAACTATCGTAGATGTTAATTTGCGTTAATACAAAATTAAATATGTACATAAATGGGCATTGATTAAGAATAACATGTCTCTAAAAATCGGATAGATCATGGCATCAAAATCTATAGAAGTTAACCTTAATAAAAGTGATAAACTAAATGCGATAACATTTAGCATGATAAGATTTTAAATGTACTAGAAGGACATGATGCTTTAGAGAGCATCAACCACGTAATAGAAGACCTTATGTAGGTCATACTACTCTAGAGAATAAAGATCAGAATCAAACTTAGTCGAGTACGGGAAAATGTGAATTTTAGTACTCGAGCATTTAAATTGTTAAGTTATGTTATAAATGATCTTTTCTTCTCAAATGTGACTTAGTTGGTGGTTAGCATAGTGTTAACATTTTCATTGGTCACATTAATTTTAGATGAGTAGTAAGTTCAAATTAGTCTCTTCTTAATATATGGAATTTTGAAAGTGATTGTGACTTACAAATTGAAGTGTCAATTTTTTTTCTATTGATACTACCAGCTATGTGAGTTAAAAGACGTGCGACTTGATGTTGCTAAGTCTCGAGGACATTGCTAGTGTAGCAATGTTCTAGCTTGCATAAGATTTTGAATCTTAAGCATTGAATGAGCTAGAACAAATGCGGGATAGATGTGGGAGATTGGTAAAGGGACCAAGACGAACTATCAGATTGTAAGTGAATGAAAGTGGTTTTGGTAGAGGATCAATGTTATAAAGGTTCAAGTGCTTCAACTATATGATTTGAATCCCTTACCTTGAAAGTGGTTAAGCTAAAAGATATTGCACTTGAATATATTCCTCCTAGTGTTGTTTACATGTCAACACTATACATATTGGATCTTATCTTGTGTGGATAGTGGATTAAAAGGTTAGAAACCCACTTTATATGAGATTAAAAGTTATATTATTCTATTGTCGAGTCTTTGACTTGATACAAAGTAGATATATACAAATATTAAAGATAGGGTGGATGTTTATATGACTGATACTGGAATTTAGTATTGCAAAGTGGAGAATCTGACCTCTTATTTGATATTAAGATAGTATCAAAGATTCCACTAAATTTGATCTCAATTATTGTTCTTCTAAGAGTGGTCTCTTACCTGAACTTATGCGTGGTATTTCTATTCGTACTCACAGTGGTGACGTTTATTATGGTTCTGGATATTTGTGCAATTGTTTGAGGTTTTGAGTTGAGAAAATCATTCAAAACTGTAAGAGCTAAATTTCTGTAGAATAAATCCTTCAAATTTTTTTTGCGGACTGTGATTAAAAGAGATAGAGATGGAACTTTACTTTTCATTACATTTATAGATAGATTCAGGCATTTCAGATATGCTTCTAATTTTCTTAAATTGAAGATATTGTATTGGTTTAGATTTTTCTGAAGTCAAGTAGAAAATTAGATTGTGGAAGTGAAGACTTTGAGAATTATCTGATGTCATGACTCTCTATCACAAGATATCAATGATCTATGCAATGAAAGAGATTCTTATTTGATAGACTATTTCTTAGTCACCAATAATTATATGGTGTATTTGATTGAAGGAACGCAATATTGCTGAATGTGATGAGGTTTGAGATATAGAGTCCAACTTACGTATTTGCTTTTGAAAAGAGCGTTGCCTAACTACAATGTATCAGTTAATGGAGCTCTCTCAATGTTGGTGACTTCATAATATATAAGTTTGGACACGTAAATAATCTAATGTGGGTTATCACAGACTCTTAATTGACTATATATAATCTCGATAATGAGTATAGGAACATGAGTCTGTTAAGAACAAGATGTGTCTCGATGACATAAATGTAGTCCAAAAAGATACTTCAGTGAAATTTTTGGACGGATATCGAGTCATAAGATATGACATTTGACATTTTTCCCAGTAAGGGAGAAAAAGATTGGAGAACATCATTGAAATTCATATTATATGTATTGATGAATTAGTTTTGAATATATAAGAGATGATTCAAACTTCTAATTCAAGTGGGTGTAATCTGTTTCCGAGTTGGACTCATCTAGCCAAGTGGGAGCTATATAAGAACTGTCTAATTTCAATGATTCTTGGTTCCAAGTTGGATCTAAGAGCTAGTTCAAAAAATCAAAAGGGGAATTTCGAGAAAAGTGATGGAAGTCTATATATGGAGAATATAATTTCAACCTAATCTGGATTTGGTGAAAGTTCTATGCAGACATTATATTTACCGAAAACATTCAGGTTCTTGAAAGTTAAGTGGAAGACTAATGAGTTTCTGATAGATAAAGCTCATTTTTTAAAAAGATTATACTTAATGTGAGTATATTGAGTTGGATAAATTTTTTCATAACGATGGGATTCACTTCTGTGCATCAATTCTAGCCTTGATGGTATGTTTAAATTTGGAGTTGCACCAAATCAACCTAGAGACTGTATTTTTTATTCTCAATTGAGAAATGATTAAAGATATCAACATGAATCGACTTTTAGATTACATGTTAAAGCCTTTTTTTTTTGTATTGTGGTAACTTTACAGTTACACGCATGGCCAAATACATTCATCTCGACGGTTGTACTCGAGTTTTTAACGG